GCCCAGGCGCTGAGAACTGTTGCCCCATATCAAGGAACGCCTTTCAATGTTATAGGCTTTTCCTTCTCTGCGGTCGCTGCCCTATCTCAGGTCTGAGAAGCACCCATCTCAGTCCCGTGAGGCTTTGTGGTAAGAGTGGCTCAAGGCAGGAGCCCTCTGTTTGCACCCAAAGAAAGCATCCTCAGGGGCAAGACGCAGCCCTAGGCCTTGGAAAGCCCCTGGCCTGGCCAGCTAGATACCCGGACAGCAATAAAACGGGGTGCTGTGATAGGGAAGCACACAGGGGTGAGGGCTCACTTGGCCTGAAGGGTTTTGGAAAGGTGTTACCTGGACACGGAGGTTGAAGAAGGCGTTGGCAGGTGTGCAAGTCAGGGGACTTTATGGCAAATATTGGAGTCCCAAGCTATCATGTCCTTTCCCGGGTCAGCAAAATACCCCCACAAGCAAACAACTCAGTGGGGTTTACCGCTCTGCTCCATCACCCCCATGGAATCCTCTCCTGGTCATTGTAAAAGCCGGTGAGGATTTCGCTTCTCAAATACACATCAGTCAGCTAGTCCTGAGGATGTGGAATATTAATGTGGGGTGAGTGGTCCCAGCTCTCACTGCGTGGGCCAGAGAGGTTGGACGACTGAGCAGGGAAGGAGAGCTAACCGAAATGGCCCAATTTTGCTGATCCCTGATGTCCTGTTTGTCTGAAACTCACTGGGGATCTGAAGTTTAAGGCGGGAAATGTTAGGACGTCCTGAGTGGAATCGAGTTGGCCCAGAGCTCAAACCATGAGAAATCACCCAAAATTTCCCCTGTTTTTGTTTTGTTCTCTTTTTTGTTCATTTGTTTGTTTGTTTTTACCAAACTTGGGCCTCCCTTGTCTACAGTCTGACCCAGGTTTTGAGGGAGAGAGCCCAGCTTGCTTGAAGGCTTGTAAGGGAACCCGAGACCAACCTGTCCGGCCTCCCACCCACTCAAGTTTTCCAGTAAAAATGTGACCAACACTCTTTATAAACTGTTCCCATGACAGGGCAGCCGACCCGCAGCCAGGTGCCCGGCAGATGAACAGGGAATCAGAGCTGGCTAGCGGCAGGGAGGGGCTGGAATAGCACTGTCCACCCTTACCAAACGTCACCTCCCTCTCCCCACCTGACCTACAGCCACCAAGCTGAGAAGTGAGGCATTGGAAGGCTCTAGAAACTCCCTGAGCCACGTCTCCGCGCCATCTCAGAAATGAAAAGAAATGGCTGGCTTCACTTGATTGTGTTCTGAAGGGCTTGCAAAGAAGAGTCAAAATCAGCTGCTTTAAATCACTCTGAGAATGGAATATTCCTTGTCGTACTGCTGTTCCTCTGGTTGGATTAAAGTCAGGCAAAGAGGGGATCTGAAACATTTCTGTACATATCGTGAGGCACACGCGAGGGGGTCCCCGGTCCTCTTCAGCGGGTGGAGGCTGCTTACAGCTTGTTTGCCTTGTCATCAAGCAGGCGCCTTTTGGGGGGCCCCCGCCACAGGGCTTTCCTGGGAGCACGGTGGGGGTCTGGCTTGCAGATCTCTGCCCAGCCCCCGCCACCCAGCAGGAGAGCCAGTCATTTACCTCGGGTTTTCCCTGGGACCCCTCTCTCTCTATTTTCTAAAGACCCCGTCAGGTGAACTTCAACTGGACATTTTAAAAAGAAAGATCCACTGTAATCAAAGCAGGTGGTTTTAGAATACAGTGTCTTGATTAACCCCCATCGGAGAACATACGTTTTTCAAAGTATCAAGAGGCTCTAGAGTGTCAGGGTGAGGGGCAGAGAACCCGGCCCTGCCCGGTCTACCCGCCAGCAAATGCTGGTGCTGACGCCACGGACCGCTCCGTGCCTCGGTCCCCTTCAGCCATCTGTGTTGGAGAGTTCTGGCCTTCTGCCCAGCTCTCCCCGTCCTTGTGCTCGTGGCCCTGGTGTCCACAGGTCGGGCCGGGCTGGTCTTACCGTCAGCACTTCTGGGAGTCAGAGTCACCACTCCCAGGAAGCAGCGATGAGCTAGCTGGCTCCTTCTCGGGTCTGAGGCATCTATCAGCCCAGGCCCTCCCTGAGTCTTCATTTCCATGACTAATATTTTCCAGGGTTGACCCTGAACTACACACTAGGGTCGCTTCTCAAGACAAAACAATAGCAACACACTCCGGCTTGGGTGGCTGGAAGTTAGGTCACCATCCGGGGCTATCTGTGGGTTGGGAAGACAAACACTGGTGCCCCCGCCCATCCACCCCTGCCCCCATGAAGGGATTACAGTCTGCAAACCTGAACACAATGCCATTCTGTATCCATCGCCTGCTCTGGGGGACAAAGAATCACTTTCAAGATGGGGTCAGCCAAAGGAAAACTAGACAACTTGCCCCTTGACCCACGGGGCAAAGGGCAGGTCGGGCGCTTCTCCAGTGGGGGGTAGGATGGTAAGCAGCCAAGGCAGGACTCGGTCTGGTCTGCTGGGTGGAGGACGCCAGGCCAGGGATGCACAGGCCCCTACAGGCAGCGCCCACAAGGCCTGACTCCTGCGTCCCCCTCTGCTTGGAAGGCCCTTCTCCCCTCATCTCTCTCCTCCTCTTCCTCCTTAGGACAGAGCCTGAAGTCAGAGTCAGAGTCTCCCACTCTCTAGCAGTACACAGATTCCTTTATTTCTTGCTCTGCTGATCTCCACAGAAAGATTCTCTCTCTTGTTCCGGAACATTCCTTTTCAGCATATTCTGTTCTTGTTTTATAAATGTAGTATCTCCACCCATCTCACTAAGGGTCTTCATCAGCAGTCTCTGGGATTCCTGTTGTTTTATCTCTTGCCTTTTCCCTTAATTCTCTGTCACTCAGGGATTCTCCTCTGTTTGCTTTGGTCCTGATGCTCTGGAGCGGACCAGGCCCTATGGCGGGGGAAGGCCTGAGTGGTGGGTTTCAGGCGGGAGCCACCAGTGGACAGCGGCTCCCAGGTGTCAGAATATGGAAAGCTGGTCTTTAGGGAAGAATTCTGGGGGGACAGTGGGGGACAGAGGCCGAACCACTTGGGATTCTCAGTGAGTGTAGGGTTGGCTGTTCTGAAAACCGGATTTGAATTTATCTTGGGGAGACCCGTGCTCAAATCTGCTTCTACCAGGTACAGCTTGGGCAAGTCTCTAAAGCTTCTGATGCCTCTATGTTCTGGTTTGAAGGAGATAATTCTGGTTACTTTTTTACGGACCCTGCTCCCTCCAGTCTGTGTAACAACCACCTTACCCAGGCCCTGCAGCTGTGATGTGTACTGCTCATCTGATCACTGCCAAGTTAAGGGGCGTTCCGCCAGGTCTGCAGGACCAAGGGCCCGGGGCATCCAGGCCCGTGTGCCGCTCATGGACAATGCCATGTTCTTCCTTCCTCCATCCTTTGTCTGCTGCACAAATCCCCCCAGCGCTTCCTCAAGGACAGACCATGTGTGGTTCCTCCTAATTGCAATTTACCTCATTTGCATGTGGCTTTTTCATTATAATTCCCTGAACCCAAGCAGCCATGTTGCTAGGGCAACAGAGAGCACACTTTCCAGCCTGCTCACTGCTGTCTGGGGGACCCCTGACACAGCATGGTCCGGCTCCAGCTGTGCCCCCCGCTCCCCCTTCCCCCCCGCCCCGCCCCGAGAAGGCACGGTCTGCAGAAGCCTCCTGCCTGTTTTGTCTGTCTCTCCACAGGGGCTCCATGACCTTTATGCGTGCCCAGACTCTCGCGTCCCCTCCCCAGCCTGGAGCCTGCATCCCTCCCCCACACAGCGAGCCCCATTCCCATCGGTGCCAGCTGGGCTCGCCTCGGGGGGTCTCGTGATGCCCAATGAGATGATGTGCGTGAAGCACAGAGCCTGTGGAATCCTGGGGACTCGTGATGACAGTTACCTGCTCCAGCGGGTCTCAGTGCCACACCGGGAACTCAACCCACGTGTGCTGTCTCACCAAGCTCTGTGCCCCCCCCTTCCTGCATGGGCCCCCCAGCCCCTCCATCTCCTCTCGCTCCAGCTACCAGGCACCTGCCTCTGTGCCCGGATGGCAAATGCTTCCTCCCCTTAAAACAGCGTTTAAATTAGAACTCAGGTGAATCTAATTGAACTACGGCTTAATTACAGCCCTTGGTTCCCAGCACGCTCTGCCGAGGGAACCAGTGAATGCATGAATGAGTGAGCCTCCACTCTGTTCCCACCCCTACAATCTACTTCAGAGATGTGAATTTTGGGGCCACTTCACAGTTTAATTGGGATAATTGGTGACGAAGGGCGAGGGCCAGATGCAGTGAACCAGCCCATAGAGAACCTCGAGCCACTTTGAGCCATGACTTCCACACTTTTCCCTACAGCTATTAAGTGGACCAAAAGGCCGAACTTGCCCCGCAGAGCCCCCCCGAGGAAGTATAACTGTGCTGTGAGATTCACGGAGGGAGGACAAGGTGGGCGGGGGAGTCCTCTATGAGGGAGTAGTGTGAGGTCAGGTGCCTAAACTAGCTAACTCTTACCCAGCTAGACTAGTTAGCGGTGGCCCGCCTGACCAGGGCATGTGGCCGGCCCCAGGATCGTCCTCATTTCTGACAGAGGAGCGATGGGAGGGGCGACCGGGCGAGAAAAGCCCAACAACAACTCTCCACATGACAGACTGAGTATAAAAGGTCGCATTTCTAGAAGCTGAGCTCATTAACACTTTTATGGGGGCTGGGGGCGGGGGAGGGCGTGTTAAGTGACAAAGAAAGGAAAAAAAGAGAGAAATTCTGCCTTTTAATTCCAGCTCAGCATCTGACCAGCTTTGTGACCTTGGCCAAGTCATTCATGTGCCCTACGATGTCATTTTCTCACCCTTGCCCAGGATCTGGTAGGTTCTCTGTAGAAATTGTGGCCGAGGGGCGCCTGGGTGGCTCAGTCGTTAGGCGTCTGCCTTCGGCTCGGGTCATGATCCCGGGGTCCTGGGATCGAGCCCCCACCGGGCTCCCCGCTCGGTGGGAAGCCTGCTTCTCCCTCTCCCACTCCCCCTGCTTGTGTTTCCTCTCTGGCTGGGTCTCTGTCAAATAAATGGATAAAACCTTTAAAAAAAAGAAAGAAAGAAATTGTGGCCGAGACCCACACCCATTGTTCGGGTGGGGAGAGCGTATGACAAATTACAGGGGCCGTGACTGCTCGTGAGGGCGGCCAGCTCGCAGGTAGGACTTGGCGCAGGACTAGGTACTGCTCACCGAGCAACCACAGCGCGGGGCGTGCGTGAGTGCTCCCACGTCCGCCACCAGGAAATAGGGAGCTGAGAGGACGTGTCCAGACCCAACTGCTGTCAGGTAAGAGGCTGCAAGTCTCTGGGTTTTTCCAGTGGTAGGTTGCTTGCTTGGAGCCATTTTCAAAGGCCATACCCGTATCTCCCTGAAGAGATGTGATGTTTTCTGCTGGATATGCCTCTAACAGCTATAGTAGCATCGCCAAAAAGAGAGAAAGAGAGAGAGAGAGAAGAAAGGATTCTTTTTAAGGGTGCAGGGTGTGCTGGTGGGGGCCCCAGAGAGGCTCTTCTGCCGGAGTGAGGGCCGCCACAAGTCATGCTATTTTTATTTGTTTTTGTTTTTGTGTTTCTACTAAGTGTATTCCTCCTGCCAGAAAGCATGATCGCTGAGCTTGAAGCAGCCACAAATCTGTCTTGCCGAAGTGAGTTAGTTTACCTTTAAGTCTGTCCAGAGCGGTTCCCAGTGATTTCCAGGTTGGCTCCAGCGAGGAGACAGGCGCGGAGAGCCATCCCCACCGGGGCCCCGCCCCAGTCACTCGGATCACAAGCATCCTGGGTTTCTAGAAACCTTTTACAGACGTGAACATGCCTTACCGCGGCGTTTCCATTGATTTGTTGTGTCCCGTTTCGTTAGAGGTTTGGGAGTTTGTTTTGCTTCACACAGTCCCCGAAAAGGAATCCAGGGCGAGACCTACCCAGCAGATAAGCGTCGCCGCGGAGGCCGCTCCCTTGCCACGAAATGTGTGTGGCCCGGGCCCTTGCAGATAAGCCAGCCGTGCCAGGGGAGCTCGGGCTGGAAACACACAGCGCAGACCTGGCCTCGCCCCCGTCCTGCCGGCGAGCCCCGGGGCTCTGCAAGAAGGGCGCAGACTTTGCAAATGTTACATCTCAATATCGTCAGTAATTGCTTTCAGTGCCATCAGAGGCTGTTTGCTGTTTTGTTTCTTTCGCCCCTGTTTATGCCTCCGCTCTAGATCCAGGGGCGTGGGCTGCGCTCAGAACAGTAACCGCGCCGATGCTTCTTGAAAAAGAAACCCACTTCACATTTGGCACACGAGCTCCTCAACCCTGGTACTCTCCAGGCTTCTTTCCCTGGCGTCCACGCCCGCCTCCCTCGACTGACTTTCAAGAGGGGTGGGCGTGCCACACAAGAGCTATTTCTCGCACACATGTTCCATCCTGGAGCCTGGCAGGCTTTGCCAAAGATGACTCAGGTAAACATGTTATCAAGCCGAGCTGCCAGGAGCCCTGCGATGATCCGGCCAGTACGATCACGCCGGGCAGCCCCCTCTACGCACCTGCGCAGCTCCCAGAAATTCCCTGGCCTGTCTGCACTAGAATTGGGAGGTGGGAGAGAAGAGCAGCTGTTGGTTTCCCCCCCCCCCGACCCCCCACACCCACAGCCCGGGAGGAGGACGAGGAGAGTGTGAACGGAACACAGAGGGAGAGGAGGAGAGCCGCTGAGCATGAGGAAAGACTGGAGGTGCCAAGTTCTCGGCCGGGGGCTGGGAGGACGGCCAGGAACAACACAGATGTGCCCACGCCTTTGAGGAGCTCGTGGTCTAAAAGAGGCAACACAGATACATTACAAGATGACATAAATAACAAGAAGACTCATGATGCCATCGCAATGTACGGCAAGTTCTAGAAAGAAAAAAAGAAGGAAACGAGAGGAGATGATGAAAGGCTATAAAGGGGAACTGATGTGCATTGGGAGAGGGGTCAAAATGGACAGTTTGCAAAGGAATGTTTGAAAGGGAGTCCTGGGGGAGTGGAGCGAGCCAGGCGACGAGGGCCCGGACGAGCATGCTGACTGAGGGAACAGCGCAAAGGACTCCACTGTGGGAAGGAGTTTGGGCCGTCTGAGGAGCGGAAAGGAGGCTGATGGACCCAGAGTACCGAGAACATATATACTAACGTTGGAAGGACACACATGGAACGTGGCAAGGGTGACCTGCAGATCTGTGAAGCATTTTGCATTTTTGTAATCCAGGAGACAATAGAATAACATCTTTAAATTGCTGAAAGGGGAAAAAAAACACCCTGCCAATCTTTTTGTAGAAGATATTTTTTTCAGAAATGAAGGCCAAAGCAAAAATGTCTTCAAAAGCTAAGAGAATTAGTTACCAGGAAGTCAATACACAAGAAATCCCATGAAGTCCTTCATGCTGAAGGAAAGTGACCCCAGATGGAAGCACCAACCTACAGAAAGGAATGAAGAATAGGGTCAATATAGAGTAATATTAACTATCTAGAGCAATAATAAGTGACCAAATGCTAAAATGCATGATATCTATGGCACCAGGAAAGGGATAAATGGAATCATGGAATATGTACCAAAATAGACCATATGCTGGGCCCTAGAGCAAGTCTCAACAGATTTCAAAGGGCTGAAATCACACATTTCATTCTCTGTGCATTCTCTGACCACAGTGCAATTAAACAAGAAATTAATAACAGAAAGATAATTGTTGAATCCCCAAGTGTTTGGAAATTAAGCAACACACTTCTGAATAACTCACAGGCCAGAGGAAACATCACAATGGAAGTTAGCAAATACTTTGAACTGAATGATAATGAAAATAAACGTATTGAAACTTGTGAGAAGCCACTGAGGAAGTGCCCAAGTGAGAATTTTTAGTTTTAAATGCATGAGCTAGAAAATAAGGGGGTTGAAAGTCAGTGATCTAAGCTTCTGTCTCAGGGAAGTAGAAAAACCCAGTAAATTAAATCTAAAGAAAATGGAAGGACAGTAGTAATCAAGAGAAGAGTTGACATCAGTGAACTAGGTAGGAGAAGTACAACAGAAAAAACAGCAAAACCAAACTAGGTGTTTGAAAAGATTAACAAAATTGATAGTCCCGTCAAGACTGATCACGGAGAAAAACCAGAAAACATAGCCCCAGATTTTTTTCACATCAATATTGGAAATAATAGAAGGCCATCAGTACAGAGCCTGATACATTTTAAATGGGATAACAGGATATTATGAAGAACTTTATGCTGATAAAAAGGACACCCTCAAAGAAATGGACACATTCTCTAAAAACCACAATTTAGCAAAACTAATACAAGAAGAAATGGAAAATCCTAAGCATCCTATACTTACAGTTTAAAATAACCAAATCTGAAATGAAAAACCTTCTCACAAAGGAAACTCCAGACTCAGATGGCTCCATGAGTCATTTTCCAAACACTTAAGGAAAAAATAATACCAGTCTTACACAAAGTCTTGCAGAGAAAAAGAAAAAAGAACACCTCCCAACTAATTTTCTAAGGCTGGCAAAACCCTGGTATTAAAAATTGACAAGGACATTACAATAAAAGAAATTTACAGCCTTATAGCTCTCATGAATATAGACGAAAACCCTACATAAAACATTAGTAAATCAAATCTAGAGATACATTAAAAGGATAATACTTCTTGACCAAATAGTTTATTCGAGAAGTGCAAGGTTGGTTTAACACTTGAAAATCAATCAGTGTAATTTGTAATAGTAACAGAATAAAGGATAAAAAAGTATGATCATGCCCATTGATGCAGGAGAACATCTGATGTATGTATTCATGATATAAACTGTCCATCAATTAATAATAAAAAGAAATGTCCTTGTTCTGATAAAGAGCATTTTTAAAAACTCTATGGTTAATGTAAATGAAACTACTAAGCACTTTCCTCTTGCCCACTATCACCATTTCTGTTCAACACGGTACTGGAAGTCCTAGCCAGTCCGAAAAGGCAAGAAAAGGAAAGAGATATAAAGATTAGGAAGGAAGAAAGTAAAACTGTTTTTATTTTCAGAAGGTATAATTACATACTAGAAAATCCAAAAGAATCTGTAAACTACTAGAATCAATAAATGAATTTAGCGGCATCACTGGATAAAATGTCAATATATGAAATTTAGCTTATTTCTACATACTAGCCAATGACTAGACAATGAAATTAAAAACAACTTACAGTAGCATAAAAATATAGAATGCTTAGGAATGAATCTTTTGAAAGATGTGCAAAATTCACGCTGAAAACTACAAAACATTTCTAAAGAGAGATTAAGGAAGGACCTAAATGAATGGTGAGATATACCACATTCATGGACTGAGAAGTACAGTATTGTTATGATGTCCAGTCTCCCAAAGTGATCTACAGATTCAATGTAATTTCAATCAAAATCCCAGCCGTGTTTTTGTAATGGATATTGACAAACTGATTTATATGGAATTGCACAAAACCTAGAATAATTGGGACAACGTTGAAGAGGAAGAACAAAGTTGGAAGACTTACCCTAGTAGAGATCAAGATCTACTAGAAAGTAACCAAAATTAAGTGGTGGCAATTAAACAGTGGGATTTTGCTGTTAGAATAGACATAGACCCATGGGATCAGATTCAGAGTTTAGAAACAGACTCACACATTTACGTCCACTTACTTTACAATAAAGGTACTTAAGCAAGACAATGGAGGAAAGGTTGTTCTTATCAATAAATGATGCTGAACTGGATATGCATGCAGAAAAGAGCAGATCCTGACCCCTACCTTGTAGCATGCACATTAATTACCTTGTAGCATGAACATTAATTCAAGATGAACTATATTCCTAATGAGAAGGGTAAAACAATAAAGCTCCCAGAAGGAAACATAGGAGAATATCAACATGGCTTTCAGATAAGCACAGATCTCTTGAATGACATAAAAGCCATTAATCATAAAACAGCTGGTTTATAAATGGGGCCTCATGGAAATTAACAATTTCAAGTTAACAAATTAGCAATTAACAAATTCATTAAGAGAAAGCAGTAAGTGAGTGAGAACACAACCTGTAGGCTGGGAGATATATTCAGAGGATTCATAACCAGGATATATAAGGAAATTTTACGAATCAATAAGAAAAAGACCAGCAACTTGATCAAAGCTGGACAGAAGACTTGAGGAGCTCTCTCACTCAGAATTTTCAAAGGACCAGAAAGCATAATTGACGGGGCTCAGCCTCATTAGCCATCACACACACAAAAATTCAAGTTAAAACCACAATGAGATATGAATTGGTTAAGAAAGTACTTGAAGTCATATGGCCAACCAGAAAGGCTAAAATGAAAGTGTCAGCAATTCTAGTGTTGGCGAGGCTATGGAATGAGTGAGCCTCCCATGAGATAATGTAAATTTTACACCCATCAGAAATGGGTGCCTGCAATCCACTAAAAGACACAGACGAGGTAGTACATGGCAACTTTGTGATAAATAAATCGTAGTTCATTCACACAGTGGAATACTACACAGTGATCAAGAAGAATGTCTGAGGGGCGCCTGGGTGGCTCAGATGGTTAAGCGTCTGCCTTCAGCTCAGGTCATGGTCCCAGGGTCCTGGGATCGAGTCCCGCATCAGGCTCCCTGCTGCTTGGGAGCCTGCTTCTCCCTCTGCCTCTCTCTCTCTCTCTCTCTCTCTCTCTCTCTGCCTCTCATGAATAAATAAATAAAATCTTTAAAAAAAAAGAAGAATGTCTGAGACATAATATTGAACCAAAAAAGCCAGATACAGAAGAGTACATCCTACATAATTCCATTTACATCAAGTCCAAGGCTAAGCAGAATTATGGCAGGAGTTAGGATAGTGTTCACCGCTGGGTGCTGGGCCATGGGAGCTTTCTGGATCCTGG